CAGGGCCAGGGAGGCAGCAGCTGTTTGTAGCCTCCCAGCTGCAGCCGGCCCCAGCTCTGGTAGCTGCTGATAGTCACAGAGCCTAGGCTGCTCCCCATAGGGCGCGTCCCAGCTGCCTGCTGGGAGCAGCCCGGGCTCCTGCCTGGCAGCAGCTACTTAGAGCCAGGGCTGACTGCAGTCAGGAGGCTGCAAATAGCTGCTGCCTCTCTGGCCCCAATGCACACCAAGGAAAATGGCCTCACATGTCATGTTCTCCATGTGTGCTGGGGTTGCTGACCCCTGACCTACACAAACACAGCAGCTACAAGGGAAGCACAGTAGTTGGCGTGCCAGTGAGAGCTAGGCAGCAAGCCTGCTGGGCTGGGCCTGTGCTCTATGAGCGTGGTACCTGCCACTGGATGAAACCCTCTGCCTGAGAAACTGCCTGAGAAACATCCAAAGATGATGAGAGAACGCTTGTCCTCCCAGGGGCTTCAGGACCCTGGAGAGCCAAGATAAATGCTGCACAAGGAACTGTTTCTGATAATTATGTGTGGACACGTTCATTCTGTGTCTTGTTCCTGTGTCGCTTAAGGAAAATGAGAACAAAGGCACTCTGCTAAAAAAAATAAAGGAGCTAGGCAGCATCGTCATTCTGGATTATAAGCAGCTAGGCGTGGAGCTCATCAGAAATAACACTGTAGGACCCTGCAGCCCCAAGGTCCAGCAATCGTAGTTTAAGCCCAGAATTGCAATTCCAGGATCTTCCAATGCTGGCTACTCCAGCTGCATCAGAGATTTAGCACCACCTTCATTTTCACTGCACCCTAAAGAAGAGGGTACAGCAACCTAATGGGGCAGAGGGGAGGAGAAGGGACTCATCCACATGCGATTTGGAAACCTGAAACATTCACAGGGTCAAAACAGTTCTCTGTAATTCTTTTAAGGAGGTTCTGTCTCTCCACTATCTCTTTTTCTTTGATCTCAAATAGAGAAACTCAGTGAGACATAAAAGCAGAAAAGGCTGAGTGACAACTCCATACTCCCAAAAGAAAAAAAAAGGCTGGAGGAAGAGGATGGGAGCCAAGGTAGAAGCACTCTGTGGGTGCCTGTACATGCTCAGGGAGGCTGCTCCGATGCGTTGTAATTACAGTGCACTGGAGACGACTCAATTAATCAAGTCTGTTGGAGCATGCTAATTAGCACGCCTCCAGCAGATCCCCTGTACTTTGTCTGATGAGCTTTAGTTGAAGTGCCCCAGCCGCCATTTTAAAGCATGGGGATGCTGATACACAAGATATTGCAGGCACTTTAATCAGAGTGGCTCTCAGAACCAGTCTAATTAAAGCACCCCCCTCCTCCCCCCGACTCCCACTCCGGAGCACGTGTAAAAAGGCCCTGTGTGACCAACAGTCTTTCCTTTTCCTGTTCCCTGGCAGGTGGAGCTATAATGCCTTCTATACGAAATTTTGATTTTCAGGATGGAAGAAGCTGGGGGCATAAAGTTCCTAGCTACACTTCTCTATAACATGTGAAAGGAAAAGAAGAACGTGAGCATTTTAAGCAACCAAAATATACAAGGTAAAATAAAGTCAGAGCTACTGCAAGGTTTTGGCACCTGAGCTTATAAGATTTAATATCTGGATCCTAACTTGAAAGATTAGCACTCTTCCTTGCAAGTTTTGTAATTTGGGAGAGCAACACTCAGAACAATGCTTCTGTGCCATCGCAGATCTGTCTTGGACTGCACATCTGCATCTGCCTATGCTTTTACTCACCACTACTGACAGGTTAAGTTTACCACTGCACAATGGACCAAATACATTATGGATTTAATATGTACTCTTCTAAGATGCCAGGCATTGGGTATATCTGGAAACTAGATACTGTAGTCTGGGTTGTTACAGGAGTGTCCACCCTTCTCCTTTATCTGTAAAACTCCTCCCTGGGAACATAAAACCCTAAGTCATCAAATGTCAAAAATGCTCTGTATGGGATACATGCCCTGACCTTTAGGCACTTGCTTCAGGGTCCTTCTATCATGATGATCAGTGCAGCACTAACACCATGAAGGAAAGAGACCACCGGCTGGGCCCTCAAAGTTTACAGCCTGTGCATGTATTTTTTCAGCTAGAGACATACAGACGAAATCTCAAGCCCACAGGAGTCTGGAATATTAAGGCTATACAGCACCTTCTCGGGCACTCTGGAGCTGGTAGCTCTCTTTCCGACAACAAAAGAAGCCCAAAATATTCTAGTTAAGATGCATGTAAGTACCCCGACTGTTGCAGGCTCTCCTTACCTACGGAGCAGTTTAGATTTCAGCTCAGACTTTGTCTCATTCCAGGCGTCTAGCTCTGGACTGGTCAGAGCCGTGGGTTTCATGTGATCCAAGACAGCGATATCTTTCCCTTGTTTCCACAAGTCGTAACGTTCTGGTTGCAGAACCCTCACAAAGACGTCCATGGAAATCTTCACCATGTCTTTGCGGCAAGTGCACTGCAAGAGAGTTCCAGATACTAGGGTCAGTCAGGTGTTACAGGCAGACAGGAGCAATTTTCTCCTTCTTGTCCAACAGGTTTCCCCTTCCCTTGGGGAGCTTAAACACCTATAACACTGTGCGTATCGACTTCATTAACTCCTATAATAGTATCAGGTATGTTCACCTGCCCATGCCTACGTCAGCTGGTTGAAAGATGTCAAGACCGACAGCCTCGAGTTTCTAAGAGCCAAGTATTTCATCTCTCCTTAAAGACCAGCAGAAGCAGGGACCATGCCAGCATCTGACACTGCTCTGCCTCCCTCTCCCATATCTGGCCTGGAAGATCCTGAAAACAGGCTGCTGAGATCCGATCTCTACATTTAATTTTGCATTACCTCTGAGCCTACCGACAAGACTGCCAACTATTGGCAACTGAGGTGGCAGACAGATCTCTCTCTGCTGTAACAGATTGTGAACACTAGTCATTAGGGGGTAACGATTGCGGTCACTTCGGAAAGGGGCTGCACTGAAAGCCTGGAGGTGAAAGGTTCTAGATTGCCATTAACTGGTTCCCTGGTGTGCTTGCTGCCACAGAGGACAAATGATTCGTTACACTTCCAAAATGAAAGGCCTCAAAAAAGACACAAAGCTAATCTAACGCTAGAGCACAGCAGCTAATCCTCATCATCTTAAATCAAGATGCTGGGTATTATTTTTTCCTCAAATCCATCAAGTGTAAGCACCCAAAATGCCAACCCTGTTCACTGCTGGCACACAGGGTTTAGCTGTTTCCATTACCAGAAGTAAACTGGCTACCTAAAAGGAGCTGGGGGGCAGGGGACAATCAGGCAGAAAACCAGCTTTGCACTGACCCGCTCTGGATGCAGCTAAGAGCCGACTGGCCTGCTTGGCAATGGGGTCACAGATCCAGCTGTGCCCATACAAAACAGACCATGATAAAAAATACAGACGTGTATCAAGGAGAGCCATCAGCCAACTTGCCTGCAGGGCAAAAATCTGACTGCTATTTTTTCAGTGTGGAGTTTGATTACACTGCAATGAAGGAGTCTAATTTATTAGCTTGTTGAGAAAATAAATTTAAAACAGCAGAGAGGACACTTAAACATGATTTATTGCTCCTAAATGGCTGTCACAAAAAACTTTTAGAGCTGCGGGCGTAATGGTTAAAGCATAAAAAATTAATGCCAAAAACAAAAGCCCAGTGATGTCCTTCCACTGCCTCCAGTGACTTAACGCGCACCATGTCTACAGCACCAAATAATGATCTTTGTGTTTGCAGCTTCAGAAGTGGAACTGCAGGGGATGCAAGGTGGAAGGAGAGGTCGTGGGAAGTAAGGAAGAGGCTAAACAGCTACAATTCTGCTTGGGTCTAGAGGAAGCACCACTAAACCAGGGAAAACTGGCACCACTTTGCTGGACTAGCAAACCAAAATTCAAATGGACAGTGGGAAATGTCCACATTCATTTCTGCATCCAGCTGTGCAAGAGGCTGGATACAAACATATTCTTAGGTGGATCCATGGCTGCAACGCCAACATATACACCTTGGCATTGCAGCCAGGGGTCCACCTAAGAATATGTTTGCATCCAGTCTCCTGACTGGACTCCCAGCCCATAGCACCCCTTACAGAGTCCCCTCTCCCAGCACAGAAGTACCGGACCACATGTGCCTCTACCCTTGTAAACTGCTAACTCGTCAGCAGCATCCAGATGTGTCACCCCAAGTAAACAGCATTTTCTCCTGTTCTGGTATGTGGAATTGCATGGCGCCCTTCTAGCTGGGCCCTCCGACAAGCATAAGGCTCTTGGCCTGCTTTGCTCTCCTGCTGGATTTCCACTCCTCTGTAGTCAGAGGATGATGCAATTGGAACATTTCCAGGACAAGGCTTTTAAAAACACTTAACCTTCCTCCCAACACCTTCCCCCCACCCTTTGCAAACCATCCGATTACATTTCTGTCCTTTTCTCAGCACAAATGCAAGGAATTAAACCGTGTGTGGCACTGCTTTGCCTCTTCCCTCTCTCATTTGTAACTAGCAGCATTAAAATATTTATGGCCCTGAATGCAAAGCAGCTGAGAGAGGAGGCTCTCTGCAGAGCTCCCTGCTGCCCCAGTTCTCCCAACAGGGGATTTTTTTCCCCCCTCCCGCCCCTGTTCTCCATTTCACGAAGAGTGCAGGCCACCTTCTGCTCTGCAACGAAGCACCAACTTGGGGAGCAGTAATAACCTGACTGTGCTGAGCAGGAGAGAATATTTATGGCCAGGCGATTTCCAGCAAACTCAATTCATTTAATGAAAAATAGTGCAGAAAAGAAAGGCTTGGAATGCAATTTGGCCAAGGAGCTGCAGGATCACAGATGGTGCCCATGTTTCAGGATCCTGGCTGGGCAGCAGCTTTCCCCAGCGTCTCCATCAATAGTGGCTTAAGGGATTTGTATTGAGCGGCTTTTCAATTGCTTTTCCGTAAGTAATTAAAAAAGCACCTGTGTGCTCCTGCGAAGGGGAACACAAAGATGCGCCCTGTGGAGCAGATCGCCCAGTGGGTCCGGGAGATTGCAAAGGGGGAGGAGGCCAAAGGGCCAATCCAGACAGTAGATGCATAATGCAAGGAACATTTCCTCTTGTGCATACACCAACGAGGGGAGGGTAAGTGTTATGAATGCAGGAATTAAGATCAAAACCAGGAATGCTGGCCCATTCCCGCAAGGCAGGGCTGGAAGGCCCCAATGACTGCATGCAAGGATTGCGGAGAACCCTCACCCTGGGCTATTCAGGTCCAATTTACATCAATTGTTATTCTGGGAAGTGACACTGCAGGCTGCAGTCTCCCTGGCTTCACCTCTCCAATCCCCTGCAACGCTCAGCCTGCAGCAGCCGGGCTCCTCTCTCTCCGCGCGGATCTAACGTGATGTATGTTTATATTTCAATTTTAATTTTATTTTATTGCTTTCACACTAGCAAGCATGAATAATTCACATGTAGCCGCTCTCCTCTGGGGCTTCTTTCAGCCCATGCAGCGATATTTCCTGAGCTGCCACAATTGTGCCACATCGTGTTCCTGCAATGGCCAAATGGTTCTTTCCCGCCCCCTTCTCTCTGGCAGAGCCTCACAACCCTGCTGAAAGCAGGTATTCTTCATGCACCTACAAGGATGGGGGAAAGATAGTGGAGTGCAGAGGTGCAGGAGACTGGGTTTAAAGTGCATCGAGCTGCTTTTTCCATTGGAAAGGGACACAAAGCACATTCCTCGGCTCTCCTTTTGTCTCCTTCAAAAATGTTCACCCCATCTCCATGCCTTTCAATTGCTAACTTTCTACAAATATTTCCAAGGACCTAATTTCAGCTACAAATGCTAGAGTTTCTGAAGGCTGAACACGCAGGCACGTGCACACTTCCATTTATCTTTCCTCTCTGTCTCCGCAGATGGGGACAGAAAGCTCTCTCAAAGGGAGGTGAACTGTGTTGCTGGTTTCTAATGGACAGGGAAGGACCACATTACGGGATGGAAGGGCAGAGAGACAGAAAAAAAAGTCCGAAAGGTTCCCTCAAGTGCCAACTGAACCCTGGGGCCCTACCGTGTTCCAGTTTCTATATAAAATGCTAAGAAGAGACGGGGTAAATGGGCAACTGGAGCCCTCCAGGCTTCCCATGCTGCAGCAGCATTGATTCTGCCCTAGAGTTATTCCCCATTATGATCCATTCAAGTATAAAACAAGACTGTTTGGCAACAACATTAGGGAGAACCAGACCTCTTCGGCTTACAAGCTAGTGATGAATCAAGGAGCCCAACCCTTTCAGGATGTTCACTTGGAACTGGGCACGCACAAAACCTTGAGTCTGAGTGAAAGGAGAAAAGGGGTTTGGAGCCCAAACAGGCCTGAACCTGGATAAGGAATCCGATCACACATCTTCATGAACAGAAGAGCGCTGTTGCTCTCATGCAAGGGCCTGAGATTACATAGGTCGCACCAATCCAAGCCACGCTGTATACATTGAAGCAATACAGATACCCTTGCTTTGTCCTCTACTTAACATGCCAGTGAGAGTGATGGAAATATTCCCTTCGGCTGTGCCTTGCAAGGACGTGCCATGGCATCGAGTCACACACCAAGCAGCCCTCTCCAACTGGATCCATCCCCTCAATGTTCAGAACGCTTTTCTTTTTCCTTTGTGCACAGAAAAAGTGCTCCATGATGTGCAGATCAGGCAGCACCGTAAATTAAACCGATCCTCTGCTCTGCTGTGCACCATTCAGACTGCTGGATGGGCCAGGGCAGGCAAGAGGCACCATGCTTGCTTGGCTAGGCCACCAGCATCGGAGCACTGTGCTAGCTGCACAGGGATGGCGTAGAGATAACATGCAACACCCATGTGTCACGTAGGTAGTAGTTCTTACCACTGTTTGTGGTACAACTTCAAAAGTATAAAGTACACATACGAGAGCATAAAAATAGCCTGCACACAGCCAGAGCATGGCGCAAAACTGAACCAGTCACAACTCTAAAATTAAGAAACACAAAATGCTCTGACGATGCAGGCTCTCTGAGGTCTAACCTCCTGTCTTCACAGCACAACAGCCCATGCTGCCCTTTGCATTTCTTCCCCCAACTTGCACTATACTGAAATGCTGCAAAAACCCAACCGAGAAATCCTGATTGCAGGTTTCCTTCTCTATGCTATTAGAAAAATTCATCCCAGCTGCAGACCTAAAGAAAAGTGGCTGAAAAAGGGCTGAAAAGTGACAAGGTCACCAAGCACATGGGCCATAACTAAATGGTAACACGAAGGCCGTACACTCATCGTGTCAACGTGACAGATGAAGGAATTTACAAGTGTGGAGTTAAGGGACTCTGGGATCTAATCAAGCATCTTTGTGTCTTTCCCCCTCTTCCTCCCTCATTTGGTGCCCAGATTGCCATGCCAAACTGCCGGGGAGCAGCGTGGCTGTCACCATGCATGCTGGGAGAATGACAGATCAAAGAGCAGAATATTCAT